CCCCAAAACCCCAAAACCCCAAAACCCCAAAACCCCTTATTTGTGTTAAAATATAGAAATGGATAAGTATAAGAACTGGAAGTATCAACATTTAAATAAGTATGTCAGAACTCCTTCCACAGGAAATCGTTCTGTAAGTTCTCATTGCGTTAAGGGGCCTGCAAGGCAGGCCCCTGGGGTAATTTTGAATACAAAGAATTCCTCCTGAGTGGGAAATTCTGAGAAAAGTCAGACTGAAGGTCGATTCCTTTTGAATAAAGGACAGAAAGACTTGCAGAAAGAGTAAGGCTAAGCACTTCTTTATATATTTTTAATACTAATACCCACCCCATAGAAGTCATTTCGCTATTTCATTCCTGGATTTCATTTCTTGAATGAACGTTACTTTATAAAATCTGAGAAACTTGTCTGAGAGGATTTCCTTGAAAATAACTTGAAACTTAAATAATATAGCATGAAGACAAATAGCCCTGAAAACGAAGAGGCTTGAAGACCTCTAGCATCAAAAAAGACTCTTGAAGAGAACAGAAGGAAACTATACACCAGTGGAGCTACTAAAAGAATAAAACATCATTTCGCTATTTTAGACAGGTTTGAAGATTTGTTTTCCAAGTTCAAAATTTAGTAAGAGAGGAGCTTTGAGTTTTAAACGATCTAAAAGAACTTCAAAGCGAAGTCATTCAACTCTCCGGGTTTATAGCAATTTCTCAGGACGGATGAAGTCCAAGCATCAGCTAATAAGGGACAAGGAAAGTGACTCCAGGACCTCCTTGGATCACTTAACATTTAACCAAATCAAACTTGAACGGATCAAACAAGAACGCTTGATTGAAGAGGCTCAAAAGAGATGAATGGCCCTCCAAGGAAATCATGATTATATAGAGAATAAGGTTGATTTTCATATAAAGACTTCTTTTACAGCTGCTAATTCTACTAAGATGGATGCTAAACTTGGTAAGGCCAGGAATAGCTTTGCTAATATCACAAAAAGGAACGATCTGCTAACCTCGGAGGGTGAAAATAAGTCTCAAGAACAACCCCCAGCTGAGCTACAAAGTAAGTGTTGGTTCTAACTCCAGATCTTGATCCAAGAGAGGACCCAGAGTTATCAAAAGGAGTGAATAACAGCTTCTCCCCTGTGTCAAAGACATTCAATGCAGGTCTTGGTAGGAGTAAATAAGTCTGTCTGTCCCTCAAAGATGAAGTTGAAGTGTCTGGCTCTTCAACAATATGAGATAAAGAGACAGCGAGCACATAAAATAAGAGCCCAGAGTGTCCTGTATGATAGGATTTCCAAGAGAAGATCTAAACAAGAGAGAAAGAGAAAAGAGAAACAAAGGAAATTAGTCCAATCAATGCAAGAGAAATCTAGAATTATTATTGAACAAAAATAGAAAAGGTAATTTCGAGCGAGATGAAGTTTATAGCTAAGTATGATGAACTCAAGCTTCAGGAATGGACTACCATTCAGGATGAACTCTCTACACTAGCAAAAAGGAAAGCTCAGATGGCAAGGATAACAAAAATGCAAAAAAGGCTTAAGGATAAAATTAAAACAAAGCATAGTCAGTATTCAGAAATAATCGAAAACTTTTAAAGCATTCGTAAATCACCTCAAAATTATCAAAATTCAAATTTCTGAAAACCTCAGGGGTTTTGGGGTTTTGGGGTTTTGGGGTTTTGGGG